GACTCGACTCGAAATGGCTCGAAATGAAAAAAAAATCTTAAACTTAACTCGATTGAAGCTTCAAACTCAAACATAAACATTAAATACATGAAAATCTTACTGTATTTAAAAAAAAATTAATACATAAATGTTAATATTATTAATAATTTTTTTAAAAAAAATAAAATCTGAATATATTATGTTTTCGAGCTGCTCACGAGCTTTTCGAGTCGAATATCAAGTAGCTCGTTTCGGCTCGTTAAGAGCTCGAATCGAGTCCATTCAATCCGAATATTTATCGAACCTTGATCAAATCGATCTCGAATAACTCACGATCTGTTTCGTCTCATTTACGACCCTAATTACATGAATTAATAGAATTAAATTTCGACAAGAGTGAATGATTATTAGTATTGTTTTAGAACATCCGCCGCCATTGCCTATCCATCCATCCACTTGTCTACTTGGCGTCCAACTATTTTGTGTCTGCCCATTACACAGACAAAAGCCTTATCAAGTTCCTTATATCCTGTCTTGTCCCCCTCAAAAATCAATTAATGATACAATAACATTACCATACGAGATGGTAGTTATGCACAGATAGTGAGTGCAGCTGTGAGTTGAAGAAGCATTTTCTCCCCCAATGAGTAAGGACAAAATGGGTACAAAGTTTGGAACATGTCAATTTGGTTGTCAAAATGAGAAAGGCATGAATTGAATTGGGATTAGTCAACTCTAGAATTCTGCCTTCCTATTTGTCAACCATATTGTATATTAATTAAAGCCCCATCACCAATATTGGTTCCACTATACCCAAATTTGTCCTATTACATTTCACACGCGTTGTACACTTTAATTCGAATCGATTTACATCGTACATTTAATTTTAATGAATAAATATTTTAGTATAGATTTTTTGTATACACAAATACTCAAACTTGAGATTATGTTGAAACAAAATCGAACTCCTGTTGACATATTTAATTGTTAATTTAATCGGAATATATCTTACAATATTCATTGTTACGTGTCATTGGCAGAGTTATGATGTGGAAGTCATCGATATATGAAAAAATTGCCACAAAAGTCGACATCTGTTAACCTTTTCATAAACCGCCAACCGCTAACCTTCTCCCGACAATAAACACCGTGACCGAGTCCTAGGAATAATAACAATAAACACCGTGACCATAACCTTAAAAAAACCATATCAGATCATTATTATGATATTATTTTTTATATAATCCGACATGAACGTAAAATAATGTTATAAACATTATACATGCATAACGATTTTTACATATAAACCCTGTATTTTTCGTTTCTAATTAGTATATCTTCCTATATATATATATATATATATATATATATTTATATTTAGATCATGTATAAATACACGAAAGACGAGCTAAATTTTCACACAACTTGTCGGTGTAGATCTTGTTGACTAACAAACGTACCATGAAACCCGTAGGGAACCCTTGTCGGCAACCGTACGGTGCCCACTTGCTTCATGTTCCCTGCTTTCACGATCGCCATCTCCGACGTTTCCTTCTCCTCGTCTCTCACCAATCCCATTATATACCCTTCGTCTTCATCGTTGTCTCTGTTCATACGCTTGTTTTCGGGGACGAAGAACGGTTCGCCCCCGAAACGACAAGCTCCGTACATGAATTCGGTAACTTCTCCGGTCCGTAAATCGACTTTTGCTATGCCGGAACACTTCGGCCATGGATCGGCTATCGCCAAGTAGACGAATCGGGTCTTTCGACCTAGGTATTGCCCGTTCACTTGACCCGCTTCCAAGTTCATCCCTGATACGATAACCCTTCGTGTTGATTCTCCTGTTCTTAAGTTCATTCGGATTTCGGATAGTTCGCTTCGTAGCGTGTCGCCCGACTCGTTGAAAATAGAGTCGGGCGGGTTCATGCACGACCCGATCACGACTACGGTTTTGTCGCCGGTTTCGGTGTTATCTTCTTCCCATGCGTTCCATAAATGGAAACAAAAGCAATCCGGCACGTCGATCCATCGGATTCCCGACCCGACGGCGTCGTTTTGCGACAAAACACCGAATCGGGACGTCTTTTTCTTGTTGTATACGACAGGTGACCCGCCCCGGATCATTTCGGATAACTTGAATACCATTTGATGGTCCGGGATTATCACGAAATTCTCCGTTATGGCAAAGTCGTGAACGATGGTGGCCTGCTCGATATCCACGTGCAAGTCACGTGACTTTCTTCCGAATTTATCTAACTTGAAATATTTCAGGTAAGGTTTCTTTAGGACGTTGTAGTTCAGGGTGTGCAGATCACCTGTGACGGGGTCCAGTTTGGGGTGAGCGATCAAAGGACAATCGATTTGGTCGTCGAAATCGAACCGTCCGACCGTCTCGAGATCGGCATCGCCGTTGATTTTGACATGGTAAGGAAGGTCATCCTCGGACATGGCTAACAATCGACCATTGAAGTAGACAAGCCCTGCATTTGCCACACCGGTCCCATGTGAACCGTCGACTAATCCTAAACCGGATCGAGCCATGAATAAACCGAGCCTGGCCAAACCCAAGTGTCCATGCAGCTCACCGATCGGTTTTGGAAACATACACCGACCCAACCGGGCCTCTTGAATCAACCGGCTCGTTCGAGTATACCTGCAACTATAACTAGCTTCATTACCTGGCCCCAAGCCAATAGCATGGATCATCCCATCACCGTCGAATAAATGGTGCCCGCCCGACGGCACAAACATCGGGTTCGCACCGTTTCGAACATAGACACCGTGTAAGCAAGCCGGAATATGTCCCACCACTTTCAACCCGTGACGAACCGGACACTCTCCAACTGGCGCAAAGTTCCCGGATATCTGAACCGTCGGGTCGACCGTTTTAGGCAGCACATGATTTTTCTCTAGTGGCATGATCATCGAGGTCTCGATTTTGTCAAGAGCCGCCGCGGCTAGCTTTTGAAACGGATTCAAGTGAGCTGGATAATTCAGCTCTCGTGGCGGCACCAAGACGCTGCCGCCACGTTCGACCTTGGGATACCGAGACGGATGCGGATTCGGACGAATAGTCTTTTTCGATGGATTGACGAGGAATTTGCATGTGAGCAATGGAGAACGAGGTTGAAGGAGAGGAAATGAGGGTTGCAATTGCATGGCGAGGGAAGTAAAATTATTCTTTCCGGTGAGGTTTGGGTTTATAGTTGAAAGAATTAGGGTTTATATAAAGCGAAAAAGTGTGTATGTGACATTAAATATTTTTGCACCTAAATATAGGCCGTAGAGGAGGAGAAGACACGTTAGGGATGAGTCTGAACTTTTCAAATGCATGGATATAATATTTTGTAAGAAAAAAAACACATAATATTTTATTTTATTGTGTAATATTCATACGAATCAAATGACCTCCATGGTAAAGGAATTTGTGTTATTCTTTGATGACCCGTATTCGAGTACCATAAATACCAAGGGGTGAGCATTTAATATCGAAAGGTTGAAACTTGAGAGTTATATTTGATTTCTAATTATGATTTATTAATATTTTATTATGGTTTCGTGGCTTACTAATAAGAATTAATCTAAGGGGTTGTTTGTTTATTTCAGGATGATTAAGCGTTGAATGATTCAAATGCTGAATGATTCAGAGGCTCTGTATGAATTAGCTCTGAATGTGACATGCTGTTTGATAATGACTCTGAATCATTCAGAATATACTTATGTGCTGAATCATTCAGAATGTACTTATGTGCTGAATCATTCATAATGTACTTCTGTGATGAATCATTCAGGATGTACTTCTGTGATGAATCATTCAACACTGTTTTGCTGAATTAGTCAACACTGTTTTGCTGAATCAGTCAGCACTGAATCATTCAGAGGTGCTAAACAAACGCGCTGAATGCTGAACGGTTCAACATTCAGCGCTGAATGATTTCATTAAAAGGCAAACAAACAACCCCTAAGTCTAATATGATTTGTGAATGATTTTTTTTAAATGTGAATATTTTTTAATTTACCATGTGGAAAGTGGATGAATCCTTCCAAATATAAACAAGTTTGTAGTGCAAATAAAGGGAAGTGAAGAGTGGCTTACATAGACACTTGGTGGGCCAGCCCCAATAACTTTCCAATATCACCTGCCTCCAACATGGCTACCCACGTGTCTCAATTTTGTTACTTCCCTATTTTTATTTCGAGTAAAATACATTTCTCACATAATTTTACTCTCTCTCCTATTTTACTCACCGAACTTTTTTTATTTTTATTTTGGTTTGCCTCGACTTCCTGAGTCCGAATCTATGGTTATTTCACGAAAAATATATCAAAACCTGTGAATATCGACTAAAACATTTCGACTTCTTTACTTTCGATATTTAATTTGTGAACTTCACAACAAGTTTCGATAAAATAGAGATCAGATTCGAACTCAATATATTAAAGTGGAACAACCTATAAAATTTAAGATCAAAAACCCATCATCTACAATGGTTGACGAAGGCCGACGGTAGCATCCGGCCACCGTCTACGCGTGATATTGGGGGGCTAGTGCAATTCCTCGTATTAATAGCAACACGTGTCTGATTTGGGGGGTTTTACCCCACGTGGATGAATCCGACCATTGTTTTCACTTGCGTTCCCTATTGTTTGCGTGCTCTTTGTCTTTGCCCCCGTTTTTCCTGTTTTAGGGAACATCAGATCTCTCCCCTTTTGTTTTCCCTAAATTTTAGGGACATTGGATTTAGACGGCGCTATGTCTCTTTCAAATTTTCAAAGGACTTATTTCGATAAAAGAAAAATATTATGACCGGAAAGTAACTTTTCGATAAAAGAAATTAAATCATTTTTATCATTTACAGTATGCTACTTCTAGTATTAATATATTAATTTATTCAATTTCTAAACATAAACAGCTTAACATATCTTTTAAAATTAATATTTTACATTAATATATTTAATATTAATATAATATAAATTTCATGATATATAAAATAAAAATACATATTATAATCTTGAAATCTAGACTGGTAGTTGATTAGGTAAATCTACTCTAGAAAATTTTGAGGTTTAAGCTCGGAAAATAAGTATGAACCCTACACAGAGTCCGATGATCATTTTGTAATTGTTCGATAATACGAGGGCTTTTTTGGTAGTAGAAAAAGAAAACTGAAAAAGTTGCATGCGATGCCCCATAACTTTACACAATATATTCATGATCTCCTCTCCTTTCAACATTTCAAAGCATATACGCTCCTCCCCATTCAATTTATGGATGAGTTGCAAACCGGGCATGACGTTTTCCGGCTGAGCCACGGATCGATACACTGCAACACATGAAGGGAACATAGAGGATTAAAAACATTAAACTCGTCAATGTCCTCCGTATAGGTCAACTCGAAATCAGTTACAGACGGGGAAAACGAAGTGGCGTTGCCAAGATAGAACAGCTTACGTCCTTGTGAAATTTATGTAGACAAGGAAGATGGCGAACAGTTTCTCCAGTGGAGGGGCTTTCGAGGCATATGGTACAAACTTCATCGGAATTATCAGTCTGCATAGAGAAAGGAATCGGAAACAATAATTCACAGCTGATTTCTGGAGAAACTGTTTTCGTATCGACGATGAAAAAAACCAGAATCACAGTCAAATCGGTATGATCTCTGAGCCGCCGGTTTTATACCGTTTGATCTGGTTAATTGAATCCTCATTTCTTGAGGACATACCAAACCAGACATGTCATTGGTTCCAGATTGAACCAGTCTGACCGACCAGTCCGACCTTTTCGTCCAACACATACAGACGAGGAAAAAAAACTTGTACAGGGTGTGTGTGATTCCCCCCCCCCTCTCAATGACCAAGAAATATACCTGCACTTTCGAGAGCGGTAAACTGTTAATCTGCCGAGTAGAAGCTCCAGTACGCTGATGATTATTGTCACTACTGCAGGAACACGAAAGGAGACGATATAACGACTTCAACATTCGCAATCCAAAGGAAATCATAAATAGAACATTAAGGCTATATAGAAATATGATGAAGCAGAAGTAAAAAAAAAAATTAAAGAAGAATAGAAGATTAATTATTGAAGTTAAAATCTATCGACGGATTATTAGTCTTTCTCTGCCATTCACCAGTAGGCTGATCGTTATTTTCGTCGAGTGCCAAATACCTTTCATTATTGCTACTGCAGGAAGACAAAAGGTGATGATATGGCAACTTCGACATTTATAATCCAAAGATAGGAAATTTTAAATAGAATATTAAGCAAGCAGGCATCACCGAAATAGGCTAAAGCAGAAGTAAAAACAGGGTAAATTACAGAAGATAGAGATTAATTACTGAAGTCAAAAGCTATAGACGGATTATTAGTCGTCAAAGATAGGAAATTGTAAATTGACTATTAAGCAAGCAACATCGAAATAGGCTAGGGTAAATTACAGAAGATAAAGATTAATTACTGAAGTCAAAAGATATCGACGGATTAGTAGTCGTCCTCTACCTATATCAGATACTCTTAACCACACACATAACTTGCCATTCTACAAATTTTCAACATCTAGATTTTTCCTTCAACCTAACTGCAATAAGTGATAGTCGTGGAACTGGGTGGTGGTCTATCTATGACAATAAAGAACTTGGATGGAACATATAAACTGACATCGATGTCGCGAACAACTGATCGAAAAGAAGAAAAAATTGGGCTTGTTAAAATCACCGTATAGAGAGAGTTGTGAACCACTTTGGGATGCTATCAGTTCACCAGTTGTAAAACATTATAGGTCCGCTAATCACCCAAGATGCTCAAAATAAAGTTGTTCGCTTCCAAAAAAAAATGTAAATTGGCCAAAGGTGGCACCAAATCTGTTGTAGGACTTTATTTAGTTTGATACGACTTTCCTAGTTTCCTTAATTAAAGTAATAAGCAATCTTTATTTAAAGAGATGATGAATAAAACAATGGCAATGAAACCTTTCACCAAACTCTAAAAGAGATCCTGGTCTGTTCTCTAATGAGTCCTAATGTTTTAAACTCCCTTTGATGAGTCTGAATTGTAAATAAAAATATTTTGTCCCAGAAATTGAAATGAAGAGAAGGCAATTAATCTCGATTCTAGGCTTCCCTATCAATCGCCCTGTGACGGAGCCTATTTGCATATTCTTAACATTTGTGTATAAATACCAAATATTAATGCATAAAGTAGAAACCCTCAAGACTGAACTTACATTTCACAGCCCTAGACACTTAACATTGCCACAAAAAAATGGCCCTATTGTAACCTCTAAATAAATTGTCTACCAAATTGCAAGATATTAATCAAATATGGTCAACACAAATCCATTTCTAATAGTAGTAATAAAAAAATTATAGAAAAATCGTACTCGGTAAAATCATGAATTCGGAAGGTGTCACCAGTGATATCAACTTCTATAATATTCTCCATGGCTTCTATCATATTAGGTCTCTGTATCAGGAAGCCAAAAATTAGTTTTTGTTGAAAGTAAAAGATCAAGGATAGGACAAAAGGGGGGAAACATTACCATATCCAAATTCATGTCCGATGGAAAGTGAAAATTCCTTGTCGTAGATGGTACTGCTTGACGCTGATTCAAAACTTGATTCCTTGACCGCGACACTCTAGAATAAGTAGAAAAACGAACCCGTGTACCTCTTCTATTTGAAGTATTCTGAGAAGTTCGCAATGGGGACCGAGCACGAGACTGCCTTGCTGAGCCTCTCTGCATAAGAAGCAAAGAATAATATAAACAGTAGTAACTTGCACAAATTCAAAAGGAAAATCACTCTAGAAGAAGTACAAAAATGAGTCCGTACACCTCTCCTATTTGAAGTATTCTGAAAAGTCCGCAATGGAGACCGAGTACGAGACTGCCTTGCTGAGCCTCTCTGCATAAGAAGCAAAGAATGATACAACAGGAGTAACTTGCACAAATTCAAAAAGGAAAAGCAAGGAAAATGAAGCCCATACTCCTCTCCTATTTGAAGAATTCTGAGACGTCCGTAATGAAGACTGAGTACGAGACTGCCTTGTTGAGCCTATCTGATTTGAAGCAAAGAATAATATTACATGAGGAACTTATACAAATTCAAAAGCAAAGCATCAAGTTCATATAGTTGAAGAGAGGATGAATACAATCTAAAGTACAAGAAAGAAAAACGATCAAAATCGAATTAACCAATACATTTCTTTAATGCTTGAAAAATAAAAACCTTGATCGGATATAGAATACAAATATAGAATCCTACAATAGGTCTTTCCACTTATTCAAATAGAATAAATGAAATATAGTTTCCCTTCTCTTCAGGGAGCAAGATTAGCCCCAATCAAACAGTAAAACTAAGGTCATTCAACCTAGCAGCAACAAAAAAGAGAGTACTCATAAAGTTGCACCTCTACCATCTTTGATAACAACCAAAACTGTAAAAGCATCTAAAAGCGATTCAGAGAGGATGGTTCCTAAAATTTTGTGCAAGCTCTTTTATACTCTTTCTTGTGTCAAAAATAAGTTCTTAACTTCTTGAAATTACATCAACAACATACACAGCATCAATGCTCATTTCTGAGATCAGAAAAATACAACTCTCCTTATTAAACCAGAAAAGAGAGAACTTCTCCATTAAAGAAAAAAGAGGAAAAAGATAGTGAGAATAAGAACATCCTTTTAGCAATTCTCAAGGAAAAAATAACTTTGAACATTAAACAAGAAGCCAAGGGATACAATCACGTAACCAACCAGAATAATTGGCATACACAACTAATTATAGCAAGATTAATTATCAATGTGTTTGTACTCAAATAGAAAATATAATAAAATTAATTATGAATGTTAAAAAGCATTTTAACGATAACAACAAGCTCTTGGGTCTCAACTCTCAACATGCAAACAATGATTTGTGGCACATCAAAATGAAATTATTTATCTTAAGACAAGCCCATGGATTATGCATAAAGATTAGGCAATAACAGAAAGCAAGTGCAAACCAAATAACAGTGTGCATGCACCAGGGAAAATGTCCACAACTGACAAGTATCAGTAACTACAGACGGGTTTACAATATAATGACCAAGATATATAGAGACATACAGTGTTTGCATCACTGATTCCTTCAATTAGTAGTATCTCATTAAAATAGTCTTGACAAAGCTAATCACTTAGCCGCAAATTTTTTGGGATATGGTAGCATGGCACAGCTGTATAAAAGCTAGCTTGTCCAGATTTGCAGGATGTGGGATCTCATACCTCTTTTACTAAAACATCAAGGTGTATTTCTCAGAGATGCCAATGCTAGAAGCGAGCATAACACTAGGTTTCAAGACATTTTTAGGTCCAATGACCAGGCTAGAGCCTCCAAGTTTCCCTTCTATTCCTTCTGTCCTTCACGAAAGCAGGATTTGGTTTCAAGTCTTTGGGTACAACAGAATTTACCACCCTAGCTCGCTGGCACTATATTTTTTAGATGGTTATAATACATGTGTTCACAAGATTAAAAAGGGGGGGGGGGGAGAAGTTTAAATCAATCTCAGTTCATTTACCAACCAAACTCTAATTTGCTCTCCAGCCTTTTATTAATTATCACAATCAAATATGCAAAAAAATTAAATAACATGGAACTACAAAAACCTTAATGACCTCAAGGTTTGTGTTAACCTTGATAATTTACCATGTGGAGGGACAAAATTACTAAATCCAAGTCTCTTCTACTTTTAAGATTAGAAATCCATGCCCCTTGTAATGTCACGTTTCCACTAGTTTAAACACAAATTTAGCAGGCATCTTAATGTTCATAAGATGTTTCATGAATCATGATGCAAAGTCATTTCATGACACTCTCAGGTAATCATCATCTTAAACAATACAAAATAATAATTTCAAGCTTACTCACCTGATTACCCGCACGAAGACTGTGAGTAGTACTGGGGAGTGTATCTTCCTCCTGCTGAAGTGCCCTTGCAACGTTTTCTTCAATCTGTTGAAAGATCCATAAACATTTAACGCTAGCAAATATAATTGTTCTTGGAGTTCACAGGCTGAAATTTGTTAAATGAAAACAGATCAACCACACCATCGAGACCTCGTGATATAATTGTTCTTGGAGTTCACAGGCTGAAATTTCACGACACTTGTCAGATATTAGATTCCTAAATTAAGGAGGTTGAGTAGGATTGGTAAATATTTTATTAGTTAGGATCCCCAACTCTAAGGGATTGTTTTTATTACTAGAATTAGACTTTCCCAGTTTAGAAGTTACCTAAGATAAGGCATAAGTTTGTATATTTAATTTTAAGTTTCCCACACGTTTAATATGTGAGAATTACATTAAAATTCATGTCTTTTGACATGGTATTAGAGCCACTCGTATTTGGGTGTTAATCTTCTTGTTGAGCAGTTTTTTCTTAGTTCCTATCATTCCTTGAGAAAGTATGACACCTGATCGGCAAAATGTGGGCGATGTGGGTGATTACAGCAGTACTGAAACTGCTCAAGGAGGCACAATGAGTGAGGGAAGTCACTCTAATCCGACGAGTGACTTACAAAATATACAAGCCGCCTATAGATTGAATGGTGAGAACTACCTTAAGTGGTCACAATTGGTTCGAACTTTTCTAAAAGGAAGAGGTAAATTCAGTCATCTCCTCGAAAAGGGTCCTGAGGAAGGAGATCCCAGATTCGAGGCTTGGGATGAACAAGACTCATTAGTGATGTCTTGGTTGTGGAATTCAACGGTGTCTGAAATTAGTGATATCTGTATGTTTCTTAGAACCCAGGAGATATGGGAGGCTGTAAAACAAACCTATTCGAAGGTTCGAGATGCTGCCCAGATTTATGAAATCAAGAAGATTTCAGACACCAAACAGGGAAGCAAATCAATTACAAAGTATTCTAATCTGCAGCAAAATCTTTGGCAGGAAATGGACCACTATCAATGCATTCAGATGAAATGCAGTGAGGATGCAACAATTCTAAAGAGGTTTGTCGAAAAAGATAGGATTTATGACTTTCTTGCTGGACTAAATATAGAATTTGATGCAGTAAGAGTCCAGATTCTAGGAAAAGAAGATTTGCCCTCACTGAATGAAACTATTGCTATCATTCATGCTGAAGAAGGAAGAAGAGGAGTGATGGTGGTTGAAAACAATCAAGTAGAAAGTTCAGCCTTGGTTACTAGAGTTGTTCCTGAGGGACCAACACGTCTGGAACAACAAAGTATTGAAGGCAAACCGGAAGGAACAAGGACAGTGAACAGGGACTCCTTATGGTGTACATACTGCAAAAAGCCTCGCCACGCCAAAGAGAAATGTTGGAGATTACATGAGAAGTCTCAGTCAGCAAGTAGGAACTTCACAGAGAAAGGAAGCTCAGCAAAGGGACAGAGCAAAGCTTATGCAACCAAACAAGTGGCTAAGGAATCAGATGAACAATTTGTTGAGTTCAACCGAGAAGAAGTAGAAAAATTGAAGAATCTACTGGAATCCTTAGAAAAACCATCATTTACAGGTACATGCAATCTGGTTTTCTCAGATATATCCTCTTCCTCTTCTCAGAATTGTAATGCCTTGGAATCATCCACCCACATATCTACCCAAAACTCCTGGATAATTGACTCAAGAGCCATTGATCATATGACTAATTCCTCACCTACACACCCTGCCCTAGCAACAAGAAAATCACAATTGCAAATGGTACTATGGTAATAGTTGCTGGCCAAGGAGATATTGCCATTAGTAAAACTGTAAAACCCTATTGCTTAAAAATATCCTACATTTGCCAAAACTATTTACTAGCCTTATTTCTATTGCAAAGCTTATCAAAGATACTAACTGCAATGTTCTGTTTCATCCTACACAATGCATTTTTGAGGAGCAAGAAACGAAGAGTATGATTGGGTGTGCTAGGGAAAGAAACGACCTATACTACCTTGAAGACCTTAGTAGACCAGCTAGAGTTTTGAATACCCAGCCGTTGTCTTTTTTATCCGAATCTACAACCAATAAAGACCAAATCTAGCTACATCATTTTCGCCTTGGTCACCCACCTTTTAGACTCTTAAAAACTATGTTTCCCTCCTTGTGTAAATCCTTAAATATTGAAGAATTTCATTGTGAAGTTTGTGAACTCGCAAAGCATAAACATTCCTCTTTCCCAGCAAGTAATAAACGAACCAACAATCCCTTTACTCTTATTCAAAGTGATGTTTAGGGACCTACTATTCCTAACTGTAGAAAATCAGACTATAGAAAGAAAACATACTGTATAGTAGAAAACAGATCGTAGGAAACAGTCAAGTCTGTTATTTTATTCTTGCATACTTTCAATAGAAACATATTACATATTTATATACAAATCATGCCTCTAAACTAGGAAACTCTAAGTTAGGAAAGATACTAATCTTAGGAGATGTAATCCCTTGAAATAAGAGATTTGAAAACAGAAAATAATTACAGAATCTCTTGACAGCTCATTTCTATAATTCCTACACTCCCCCTCAAACTGGTGTATATATGTTGTATATTCCCAGTTTGAATGACAACTCATCAAAAGTCACTCGTGGAAGGGCTTTGGTGAAGATATCTGCAAGTTGTTTCTTCGTCGCAATGTACTGCAGTTGTGCAACTCCATTGTTGACCTTCTCGTAAATAAAATGTATGTCTATCTCAATGTGTTTCGTTCTATCATGTTGTACTGGGTTTTTTGCTATACTCATAGCTGATTGACTGTCACTAAAAATCTCAAAATTCTTCTTGTCATCTAAGTCCAGTTCCGAGAGCAGTCTTTTAATCCACATTCCTTCACATATTCCGAGAGCCATTGCTCTAAACTCTGACTCAGCACTACTTCGAGAGACAACAACTTGTTCCTTACTTCTCCAAGTCACCAAATTACTCCAAACGTAGGCACAGTAGCCACTAACTGACCTTCTATCAGTTAATTAACCTCCCAGCTTGCATCCGTATAAACCTTCACTGTTCTGTCTTGATTTTTTCTAAATATAAGTCCAGCTCCTGGGGTGAACTTCAAGAACCTTAGAATTCTGTTAACAGCTTCCAAATGTTCTTCTCGAGGATCACTCATATGTTGGCTGACAATGCTCACTGAGTATGCAATATCAGGCCTGGTCAGTGAAAGGTAGATCAACTTCCCAACTAACCTTTGGTAGGTTTCCTTGTTTATTGGATTTCTAGTCCGGTCCTTGCAAAATTTCAAGCCTTGCTCCATTGGAGTTTCAACTGGTTTGCAGTCGAGCATCCCTGTTTCTGCAAGAAGATCCAAAACATACTTACGCTGGTTTATGACCAGCCCTTCTTCGGACCTTGCAACTTCCATACCCAGGAAATACCTCATACTCCCTAAATCCTTGGTTTCAAACTCCTTTGCAAGATTCATCTTTAGTTTTTCTATTTCTTCTATATCACTGCCAGTTATGATCATATCATCTACATAGACAATTAGGAGGGTTATCTTACCACTCGGTGTAATTTTTCTGAATATTGTGTGATCCGCTTGACTTTGTTTGAAACCATTCTGTGTCATAACCTTAGCAAATCGATCAAACCAAGCCCTGGGAGACTGTTTTAAGCCATATAAGGATTTATTGAGCTTGCACAGTTTTCTTAGTGACCTTTCCTTCTAATCCGGGGGGACCTCCATGTATACTTCTTCTTCAAGGTTCCCATTCAGAAAAGCATTCTTTATGTCCAGCTGATGCAATTTCCAGTCCATGTTAACAGCTACTGATAACAATATTCTGATGGTATTCAATTTTGCAACCGGTGCAAAAGTCTCTTGGTAGTCGATGCCATAGGACTGAGAAAAACCTTTAGCAACCAGCCTTGCCTTGTATCTTTCCACACTCCCATCCGAATGATATTTGACTGTGAATATCCACCTACATACAACAGCTCTCTTCCCTTCTGGCAAGTCTGTCAAACTCCATGTCTTATTCTTTTGCAACGCTTTTATCTCCTCTTCCACAGCTTTTTTCCACTCAAGAGATTGAAATGATTCTATCACATTTCTTGGGATTTTCACACTGTTAATGCTGACAGTGAAGGCCCTGAAATTAGGTTGTAATTTCCCATATGCAACATACTTATTTATGGGATGAGCAGTGCATTTTCTTACCCCTTTCCTAATAGCAATAGGAAAGTCATCAAGATCAACAGTAGTAGCCTCTTGGTAATCATCATTACCTTCTGTTTTAGATGCAACAAGATCCGAATCTGGTTCTTGGCTTTCAGAGGCAACAGGATCTGAATCTGGTTCTTGGCGAATGCTAGGCTGATTGATTTCTTCAGCAACATCTTTCCTTCTTCTTGAGTAAACACTGAGTTGTTTCGGATGGGGAGTTATGGTTTCAGGGTCATTGTTAGGTGCATTTTTGATAGTGGTGGAAGGGGTTTTGCACGGACTAGAGTTCTGAGGTAAGAAGAAAGGTAATTCTTCAGAGTTATTTAGGTTATTCCCATCACCCTAACTAGGAATTGGAACTGTGCTAGCCGGCTTTGGAGAGACAGTAATAGGTAAAGAAAGGATAGGCTGTAAAGAAATATTGGTTTGAACAGACTGAAATTCCTTGTAACTCTCCCCCTGAATTTCTGTTCCCGAAAAATAAGGTTGGTTTTCAAAAAATATAACATCAAAGGAGACATATGTCTTTTTTGTGGAAGGTGAGTAACACCTGTAACTCTTTTGACTCGAAGAATATCCCAAGAACACACACTTTATGGACCTAGGATCTAATTTCCCTCTGTTGTGGATATGAACAAAGGCTGTACACCCAAACACCCGAGGAGAAAGACTTGAGTTTAAATGTTTAAAATGGGAAAAAAGTTGAAACAGAACCTTAGTAGGAATTTTGAAATCTAAAGTCTTACTTGGCATTCTATTGATGAGGTACGTGGTTGTAAGAAGAGCTTCCCCCCAAAGATACTTAGGAGCATTAGCAACAAACAGAAGAGACCTAATAACCTCTAGAAGATGTCTATTTTTCCTTTCAGCTATCCCGTTTTGTTGAGGTGTGTTGACACAAGACGTAAGGTGAACAATGCCTTTTTCCTTAAAGAAATACCCAAGAGTTTTATTCAAATACTCACTCCCATTGTCACTCCTCAAAATTTTTATTTTTGTGTCAAATTGGGTTTCAACTTTTTGATAAAAATTTTAAAAAGAGACTCAACCTCAGACTTTTCTCTCATTAAGAATACCCATGTTGTCCTAGAGTAATCATCTATAAAAGATACATACCACTTATACCCAGAAATACTTTTGACAGGAGAAGGGGCCTAAATATCACTATAGATGATGGAAAAAGGTGTTGTTGGTTCGAATTTGGCTGCAATATATGGTTTTCTGGTGTGTTTGGGTATTTGACAAATTTCACAGGAAAACAATGATGAATCTTTATTTATAAATAAGTTCGGTAACATTTTGGAAAGAGAGTAAAAATTAGGATGACCTAATCTAGAGTGCCATAACATAATTTTATCAGTATTGAGACCAGAAGATAAAATTGGTTTCCTAAGAGCACTGGATAAGGCATGATTATGAGATGTTTTACCTCCAAGGGTGTACAATCATTTGCCCAGCCTAGCACTGCCAATCACGCTCTTCGAGTCTTGTGCCTGAAAAATGCAACCACCAATACCAAACACAACATTACAACCAGAATCTTTAATTAATTTGCTGACTGACAGCAGATTGCATGCAAGTCTAGGAACATAGAGGACATTATGAAGTATTAGATTTTTGTTTAATGTAACAGAACCACTCCCTTTGACTGTAGTGAGAGAGCCATCTACTATTTTGATAGAAGCTGGTAAGCTGCTTTCATTATATTCCTCCAAGAGATCAATATTTCCTGTCATATGATCTGATGCACCCGAGTCTATTATCCATTGTACCGAGAAAGCATATGGGTTATTCCCATCAATAGCAGTCTAAGTCACATTGGTAAGCCTGACTGTCATACTGCTCAAAATCTGCTGCAGCTCCTCTATCTGTTTCTTGCTAAAACTGCTTGAGGAATCATCTTGAGAGGGAATATGGGCCTCCTTTTGAAACCTGGACCATGTGGGCTGCAAGTTGGCTGATTTTCCGTGCAGCTTCCAACATTGATCTATCATATGGCCTGGTTTCTTACAATGTTCACACCAGAGGCGATTTTGCCTCTGCTGCACTGAAAATCTAAAATCTGAAAAAATAGATTGAGATGGGCTGGTCTGGGAAGTGATTTCGGATGCTGAGGGATCCCAATTAGCCATGAAAAAAATAGAGTTGAACAAGAATTGATTTAAAAAGAAGTGGAAATCGGATTGATCGCTCTGCTCTGATACCATGTAGAAAATCAGACTATAGAAAGAAAACATACTGTATAGTAGGAAACAATCAAGTCTGTTATTTTATTCTTGCACACTTTCAATAGAAACATATTACATATTTATATACAAATTATGCCTCTAAACTAGGAAACTCTAAGTTAGGAAAGATATTAATCTTAGGAGATGTAATCCCTTGAAATAAGGGATTTGAAAACAGAAAATAATTACAGAATCTCTTGACAACTCATTTCTATAATTCCTACACTAACATAACTGGGGCTAGATGGTTTGTGTCTTTTATAGACGATTGTACTCGGGTTACTTGGATTTACCTACTGAAATAAAAGTAAGATGTTACCTCTACTTTTAAAACTTTCTACATCATGATTAAGACTCAGTTTGGGGCTGAAATAAAGCGAATTAGATCAGATAATGCCAATGACTACTTTAATAAAGTCCTAGCCCCCTTTTTTTTTATAGGAATAGGAGGTCTCATTAAAAACCTCCTTCTTAGTTGGCTCTTGTGGAAGAGACAACATCGGAAGGAGGAAAAGAGTACCTCATCTTTTTAATAAACCAAAATTACATAATCTTACATCTTACATCATAACTTCCCAAAATAAAATACAAACCAAACCTACCATAAAGCTATAATCATCAACCAATTCCCTCCTTAGCTAACTTATCTGCCTCTGAATTGCAACTCCTAGGAATCCATCTAACAATAATACCCCTGGCAGAAACTAAGGTCCCAATTTCTCCAACCAAAGTACTGAGAAACGTAGGGGCAGAAACTGGTGACAGAATCCAATCAACTGCTGATTTACAATCAGACTCTAGGATTAATCTTCCTTTCGAAGCCCATTCAGACGAAAGGAATAGATCAATTCCTTTTTTAATAGCCTTCAGCTCAGTCTTAAAAAAATGTATTATACATGAGTCCTCTTGTGTAAATACTCCCCAACAGAATAGGGTAGTAGAAAGAAAGAATTGACATCTCCTTTCCATAACTAGAGCCCTTTTATTTCAAAACAAGGTCCCTAAAAGGTACTGGGGAGAGGTTGTGTTAATTGTCACTTACACGATAAAAATACTTCCCACTAAAGTCCTCGATTCCCAAAGTCCCCTTCAAACCCTTACAAAAATCTTTCCAAATTTCAACACATCTCTTAACCTAAAATCGTGGGTATTTAGGTGTTGCTTTTGTTCACATCCATTCTCAAAGTCGAGGTAAACTTGATCCAAGGGCATTGCTATTCCTCCACTCAAAAGAGCTACAAGTGCTACCACCCACCTACAAGGAAATACTACACCTTCGCTGATGTCACTTCTGTGGAAAAAGAGAGTTATTTTACAGTTCCTTATCTTCAGGGGGAAATATCATTTAGGGAAGACAAGGATGCAAATTTGTTTTTACTTCAGTCCCTTATTGATCTTCCTACATCTACTATACCTATACAACCTACACAACCTGCTCCTACTCCATCTTCTTCTCCTCAGTCAGAACCTAATGCTCCTCAACCAAACATTAATACATCGCAACCCAATATTCAGGACACTACTTATCCCCTAAGGGTCTATTCGAGGAGGAAGACACCTATGCAGATTCAATCATCCCCTTCTCATGCTCTTGCTCCTATACAATTTGAGGTACATTTTGAAACTTCTTCTGAACAAAATGATTCTGAAAATGCTATATCAACTTCTGATTTTGAATTTCCCATTGCTATTAGAGAAGGAAAAAGAACCTGCACCACCAAACATCCTTCCTATTTGTTTATGACCTACAAAAACCTATCCCCAAATCACAGAGCCTTCCTTACTAGCATAAATGACATTACTATTCCTAAAACAGTATCCGAGGCATTAGAAAATGAGAATTGGAAAAAGGCTATGAAAGAAGAAATGGAAGCACTGGAAAAGAATAAAACATGGGATTTAGTGAAGCTGTCAGAAGGGAAGAAAACAGTGGGACACAAATGGGTGTTTACTATCAAGTACAAGTCAGATGGTTCTTTAGAAAGGTACAAAGCAAGATTGGTGGCAAAAGGGTACTCTCAAACCTATGAGATTGATTATCTTGAAACATTTGCCCCTATTGCAAAGATGAACACAATGAGGGTCCTACTGCCCTTGGCAGTTATTCAGGGATGAAATTTGCAACAGTTTGACATTAAGAATGCTTCTTGCATGGGGACCTTGAAGAGGAAGTGTACATGGATATTCCACCTAGATTTAGTTCGAATACTGGACAGGCAGTTTACAGATTGAGGAAAGCTCTACATGGAGTAAAACGGTCCCCAAGAGCTTGGTTTAGGAGGTTTACTAAAGTAGTGCTAAGACAAGGTTTCAAACATAGTCAAAGTGGCCATACTCTGTTTGTGAAACACTCTCCTTCAGGGGAGTAACTGCATTGTTGGTATATGTAGATGATATAATTGTTACAGGTAATGATTTTGAAGGAATTGATAGTTTAAAGAAGTGTCTTATAAAAGTGTTTGAAGTGAAGGAGGTTGGAAGATTAAATTACTTCCTTGGTATTAAGGTGGCACACTCATAGCAAGAAATCTTTATATCTCAGCAGAAGTATACTTTGGACTTGTTGAAGGAAACTGGAAAACTAGGATGCAAACCAACGGAAACTCCTATAGAAGTCGATCACAAGCTTGGAGACTCCAAGGAGGATGATATGGCAGTTGACAGAAGTTCATTTCAGAGACTAGTGGGAAGGCTTATCTATTTGTCACACACCAGGCCAGACATAACATATGATGTTGGGGTTATGAGACAATTCATGCACAATCCTAAGGAATCACACCTAAGGGTTGTAGTCCAAATTTTACAGTACTTGAAGGGCACACCAGGCAAAAGGAATTCTGTTTAGAAGAGAGGGGAACTGGACTCTGGAAGCATACACGGGAGCAGACTATGCAGGATCCATAACTGATAGAAGGTCAACCTCAGGCTACTACACTTTCTTCGGAGGAAACTTAGTTACTTGGAGAAGCAAAAAATAGAATGTGATGGCCAGATCCAGTGCAGAAGTTGAATTTCGACCTATGGCATTGGGAAGAAGATTATTTTAGAGGACTTGAAGGTAAAATGGAATGGAGCGATGAAACTATACTGTGATAACAAGTCAACAATCAACATTGCTCATAATCCAGTTCAACATGATAGAACAAAACATGTTGAAGTGAATAGACATTTCATAAAAGAGAAACTTGACAGTGGCTTGATCTGTACTCCCTATGTGACCACTGGAGATCAAGTTGCAGATATACTTACCAAGGGACTACCTGGTAAGTATTTTCAGAAGTTAACAGGCCAGCTAAGGATGGAAGACATCCATCCCCCCATCTTGAGGAAGAGTGTGAGATATTATATTCCTAAATTAAGGAGATTGAGTAGGATTTGTAAATATTTTATTAGTTAGGATGCCTAACTCTAAGGGATTGTTTTTATTACTAGAATTAGTCTCTTTCTTAGTTTAGAAGTTACCTAAGATAAGACATAGACTTGTATATTTAATTGTAAGTTTCCCACACGTTCAATATAGGAGAATTACAGTAACATTCATGGCTTTTGACAACACCCTCAAGTAATCAACAACTAAAACAATAAAAAATTAAAAATTTCAAGTTTACTCACCTGAAGATACTCACGAAGGTGATGAGTAGAAGTACTGGGGAGTGTATCTTCCTCCTGTTGAAGTGCCATTGCAATGATTTCTTCAATCTGTTGAAAGATTCGTAAACATTTAAAGCTAGCAAATATAAATAAACAAGTAACCATCAATGAGGGAGAAAAGTGGTAGAATTAAAAATTTCAAGTTTTCTCACCTGAAGACACTCACGAAGATGACGAGTAGAAATACTGGGAAGTGTATCTTCCTCCTGTTGAAGTGTCTTTGCAATGATTTCATCATTCTGTAGAAAGATTCGTAAACATTTAAAGCTAGCAAATATAAATAAACAAGTCACCATCAATGAGGGAGAAAAGTGATAAAATTAAAAATTTCAAGTTTACTCACCTGAAGACACTCACGAAGATGAAGAGTAGAAGTACTGGGGATTGTATCTTCCTCCTGTTGAAGTATCCTTGCAATGTTTTCATCAATCTGTTTAAAGATTCGTAAACATTTAAAGCTAGCAAATATAAATAAACAAGTCACCATCAATGAGGGAGAAAAGTGGTAAAATTAAAAATTTCAAGTTTACTCACCTGAAGACGCTCACGAAGATGACGAGTAGAAGTAATGGGGAGTGTATCTTCCTCCTGTTGAAGTGCCCTTGCAATGTTTTCATCAATCTGTTGAAAGATTCGTAAACATTTAAAGCTAGCAAATATAAATAAACAAGTCACCATCATTGAGGGAGAAATGTGGTAAATAGAAACAGGGTCAACCTCAAAATTTTCATATATTGGGACCTTGTGATATAATGTTTCTTGGAGTTCACGGGCCAAGATTTCATCTGATTCAACTTGTCTTGCCCTAGCCTCTAATTCCTCATCACTGACACAGTCTCTAAAATTGGCATTTGTCCCTCTCATTTCAAATGACTCATCAAGATCCAAAACATTCAGATGTTGCCCAATATTAATTCTAGATGACCTTGACCTCGATGATTCCTGAGATGAGCCAAGAAACACAACATTTGCATCATAAGGAATGAGCCTAGTGCTTTCACCACTATTTCCTGAGGTTAATTTGTTTTTCGTTTGCCTTTTAGGCATCATATTTTCTGGAGAAGGTTCACTTATATGGTTGGATTTTGAGAAGATCACAGGAGCTTTTTCAGTTGCATCATGATTTCCAAGCCAACCAGATAGAACTATGTTGTTTCCTCGATAAGTGTCATTTCTTTTTACAACTTTATTTTCATTCTGTTGACTCATTTGGCATCCAACATTTTTAAATATGCTGAAATGATGTGCATCTGCACGGTCTACATTTTTTGAACAGTTGTGTATACTTCTCTGACCAACTTTTTTCCCAAAGCATTCATCTCTAATCGAATCGCTATTGTTCTTAACAGCACTGCAGCAAGAAAACCACATGTTTTAGTCATACAGACCCTTGTTGTTAGAATTAAGGAATAAACATAAGTTAATCCAACAAGATTATCTTGACATCAACATTAATTTGAAAATAAAAAAAGCTATATCGTCATTTTACACATGCTATTCAAAGTACCAGAAGGAATTTCGTTTAATACAGAAATGAAACCAATAAACAATATAAAGAAAGCACCAGGTAGACAATAGGCACAAAAATCTAATTAAAGGACATTAATTAAATTTTACCTTCCAGATAAACTAGTAACATTGATATCAGGATTCATGGATGCATGGGGATGGACAACTCCTCCTTTACCATAGTAATTATCTTCTGAGATTATCCCACTTATGTCTCCACAAGGACTGTTGCTAACTACATTCCCAATATTGTGTTCAGATTTAAAGCTGATCTGGGTTTGTTCATTGAGTTGTTTAGCCCTGGTAGCCATATTCAGAGGGGCGATGCAACCATTCCGAACCACCCTTTTTTTCCCGATTGCTCTTGGTGAGACATCAGGATGGTGAGTTGCAAACAATTGCTTTTCCAATCTAAGAGGGGAAATACAAAAGAGATCCACCCCTTTTGCATGATCCATACCAGAGCCAACACCTTTGAATCCAGTGTCATCTATTTTTTCTTTACCCTTGCAGTTATCTCTGGCCGTTGCAGAATTGCTTGAAGAATTACATGTAAAAGAACCACCATTTCTTGGTACATTACCTTTTCTTCCTCCTTCAGCAAAGCAATTTTCTGATCCACCTTGTGGAAATTTCATTTCAGGTTTGTGCATATTCCGTCCGGTTAAATTTACAATAGCATGGTCTTCTCCAAATCCAGAGGATTTATATGGCAGTTTAAAACAAGGAGCTTTTCCTTTATCCTTGTATTGCTCTCCGATGGAATTCCTGCTTCTCTCCAATGTTGCTTTTCTGGATAGGGGAGCATTTTCTCGAGTTTCCCCTAGTGGGGGCAAAACAATAGTGTTTTTTCGATGTTCAATTTCATCAACACCAGCTGAAAGTTTTTGAGGGTGTTTATAATGATTTCTGTGCAACCCATTTTCAGCAACCACTCTACCTCTGCCGCTTAGCCTATCCAAAGATGCAGAATTAGAATCTCCCACATGACCAGCTACATATAAATTGCCAACACGATGACTTCCATTCATTCGTTGTGAAGATAACCTATCAGGAGTGTCGTGTATGTCCACTAATGAATCAATGTCCATGTCCTCCATTTTCTGCTACAAATTAAGCGTACAAATCAGGCGTTTAGCAAACATTATATTCCAAGTTAAACTTTCAGCTCTGGAAAAGCCACTCTTTTTCATGAAAATAATTTAAGGCAATGTAAACCACACCCACCCCCCAAAAAAAAAAAAAGAAGAAGAAAAGCTAACATCTTACATGAAACGGAGTAAAGAAACTACGTTACTCGAGTGGCACTATTTTTATATTTTTTCTAAGTTCCTTTATGCATTTGGAGAGCCCTAGCAGGGTAATATCCCTATATTCATGTCATGACACGCATCGGACAAGAATCGGAGCAACATACAGATAAATGACTTCAGAATTGTTACTGCAGTTTGCAGACAACTAATGCAACAACCTAAACAAAAAGCAAAAAAAGCAAACTTACGGGAAAATATTGCAAAGCGTTAAACAAATATGAATTTCTACCTAGCAAACCTAAAAAATCTTACTTATTTTATCTAGGCAATATTTTTTTCAAATAGTAAACAAAAAATAAAATAAAAACATTAGTTAAATCTACATCAAATTCTAATTCCAATAATATAAAATATTAATCCCTTTGAATTGCCAGATACTAATAAAATAAAGGAATCTATACACAATCAGATAAAATAATCATAACAAAAACATATATTTTCTAGAATTGTAAGCAGATTATCTTTTTATTTTATAAATTCAAAAGATCTAATCATGGATTATCAAGACGGCCAAAAAAAAGAAAAGATCAAAGCAATCTTTGACATTTTAAAAAATATATATAAAAAGTAAAGAAATTCGTTACCATATTTTATTTTCAGCTTCCCGTGATGATTGAGATCGGAAAAAAGAGAACGATAGCTCCAGAAAATAAAAATAAACATATGAATACTTCAAATCCCTAAGAAGAAAATGCCATCAACTCATCTCAGACTCCCACTTGTTCGGGTCTGGTTCCGGTTAAGTAATTTCATGGTACTAAACAAAGGGTAAACTACGCTGGGCCACTTAACTATTCCCAGATTTTATTTTGATCACTGATGTTTGATTTAATTAATCAGACCACCAAACTATTTAAATACTTCAGTCAAGCCACCTCTGATTGGAGAAAAATAAATATGTTAAACTAAAAATAAATTAAAATAAATTTAATTCACTAATCGAATGATGACATGTGTCACCAATGACACATGACATCACTTGATTCGAGAGTTAAATTTATATTTATTTATTAAAATTAGGACCAAATATAAAGAATATATATAAGTAATAGGGACTAATTATGTATTTATACCAAAAAAAATTTAACTGCAGTGTCTCCTACTCTTTTAAATGTTAATGACATGTGGCTTGATTGAATCATTTAAATAATTTAATGATTTGATTGATTAAATTGAAACATTGATAGTCAAAATAAAATCTAACAATAGTTAAGTGATCATCAATGTAGTTTACCCTTAAAAATATAAGGATTTTACTTAACATATAAGGAAACCAAGCATGGTGTATGGTAAATGAAATTAATTTAAGGATAAACTACATTTAGCGGTCATTGAACTTTTAAGACACTTTCACTTGGGTACTAAACTTTTAAAATTTACATTACAATCATGAAACTTTTAATTCGCTTTTATTATGGTCATTGACATTAACAATCACTAAAAAAGGTTTTTATTATGGTCATTGAAATTAATCTTTTTTTAATATATATAATACTATTTTAAAAAAAATAAATTTTAAAATCACCAAATTGTGGCACATGTCACTTAACATGGGAAATTAACGTCGTTGATGACCCGAACACCTAAAATGATAACATTTGACACCTATATAGATAAAAAATAGTTTAAACATTTATTCTAGAATTGAAGTATGATTAGTACACTTCCTTTGGTATTAAGCCTAAAAAAAAAAGTAAAGCTCATGGCATTCGATATATAAAATATTAATTCTTAATCAGACGTTTATTTTACCTCGACTTAATATTGTATAATTAGTTTCTTCTGAATTTATTATTTAGCATTATTTTTATTATTATTGTTTTTAATCGCATTAAAAGTATATTATTATTTAAAAACAAGAAATAAAATACAAAAAATGGTGACAAGAAAGCAATTCCTTGTTCCTATCCTTCTAAAAAAAGGTAAAAAAATATTAAAAAATTAATGATTAAAAAATAATTTCAATACATTATTATATTAAAAAAAATCACATCCACATGAAGAATCCGAATTTCAAAAATCTGTAACTTTGGGTACTTGACTTGTCCTTTATTTTTATTTTTCGTTTCAGTTTTTGATTTTATAAACGCTTCATTTTGTGTTGGGTTTTCTTGATAGTTGGGGTTTTGTTTACTTTCCTGTATAGTTATTCTTTTCTTTAGTTCTTTGCGCATCATTTTGTATTCTCTACCGTACCGGATTCACCACCTGTTTTTCTTTTTAATTAATATTATTATTTTGTTTGGAACACCCGCGTGCATGTTCTTCAGTATTGTTCTGATCTGGATTGTGGATCGCAAGGTAGCAGTAAGAGAGGAAGAGAAGTGGAGGTGTCTTTGATGGGGTCAAGTGCTTGAAATTATTCTTCTTTATTTTTCTGGGAACATTATTTGGTTGCCTAGGAAAAAAAAGGAAGGAGGAAAGAACCAGGTAAGAATTTTTTGGATCTCTATTTCGTGTCCCCCAAATGTTCTTTTTACGGTAGTTATAATAACTGTCTATTACTGCGAATTGGGTGTGAATTGTTCTTCGATTTGTTTTAGGGAGGAATAGTTTGCTAATGTGCTTGCGCATTGTTGGGGAATTTTGAGTTGAGATCGAGTGTTCTTATGTTGAATGATTGAAATCGTGTTTTCAATTTGGAAGCTAATCTTAGGGTTTGAATAACGTATTTTGACTCCTGAGTGGCATGGCGGGTGTTGATGTTTCTAAGTATGCACATAGTCCGGTGCACAAAGCTGTTGCCATGAAGGATTATGCCTGTCTCAAGAGGATACTTGCCTCTCTCCCACGACTTGGGAACCCGGCCGAGATTCAGACTGAGGCAGCCTCGTTGTCCGAGGAAGAGAAGGCTGATGGGATCTCTTCCGTGATCGATCGGCGCGATGTTCCTAACAGGGATACTCCTCTTCACTTGGCTGTTAAACTCGGTGATGAAACTGCAACCGAAATGCTTATGGTTGCCGGCTCTGATTGGAGCTTGCAGAATGAACAAGGATGGAGTGCGCTTCAAGAAGCGATTTGTAATAGGGAAGAAGCTATTGCTATGACTATTGTTCGGCATTACCCGCCATTGGCGTGGGCAAAATGGTGTAGAAGGTTGCCTCGCTTGGTGGGAACTATGCAAAGGATGAGAGACTTTTACATGGAGATCACATTCCATTTCGAGAGTTCCGTGATACCGTTCATTTCCAGAATTGCTCCTTCAGATACGTATAAAATTTGGAAGAGGGGTGCCAATTTGCGAGCTGATATGACTTTGGCTGGATTTGACGGATTCAGAATTCAGCGGTCGGATCAGAGTATTCTTTTCCTTGGTGATGGCTCCGAGGATGGGAAGGTTCCTCCTGGGTCACTTTGTATGATCTCACACAAGGATAAAGAGGTCATAAATGCTTTTGATGGTGCTGGTTCTCAAGCAACTGATGAAGAGGTTCGACAAGAAGTGGTTGCAATGTCTCAAACTAATATATTCCGGCCAGGGATAGATGTGACACAGGCAGTTCTTTTGCCACAAGTGACATGGAGGCGACAAGAGAAAACCGAAATGGTGGGTGTCTGGAAGGCTAAGGTGTATGATATGCACAATGTCATTGTTAGCATCAAATCTAGGAGGGTGCCTGGGGCCATGACGGATGATGAGTTCTTCGTAGCTTCCAATGAGAATGAAACAGAAAGTGAAGAGCTCGATGAGATATTGACAGAAGATGAAAGGAGACAACTTGAAGTTGCTCTTAAGTTGGATTCTTCAGAAATATCCAATGAGAATGGTGATGCCATTATTGGGCATCGCCATAGCTGTTATGAATCTAGGCAAATCCCTCTCGAGGAGACCAATGGTTATAGAAATGTAGAGACTAAGCAGGAAAAGAAAGGATGGTTTGGTGGATGGAGGAAACGGGAGACAAAGCATGAACCACCGAGAAAGATTGTGCCGCCTAGAAGTTCTCTTTCTGTGGATGTAAAAGTTAGCGACTTACTTGGAGACTCTCCTTCCAAGAGTCAGATAAAACCTGGTAGGCATTCTGTGGAAATTGTGGCAAGGGATGATCGGAGGAGGATAAAAGATTTGAGAGCAACTTCTATGAGCTCAGAGAGTGGTAATCGGCGTAAGGATAGTGGCAAGGAGAATGAGTATAAGAAAGGGTTGAGGCCTGTTCTTTGGCTTTCTCCAAGCTTCCCGCTGCAAACCGAAGAACTCCTGCCATTGCTAGACATTCTTGCGAACAAAGTCAAGGCAATTCGTCGGTTAAGGGAACTACTCACTACAAAGCTTCCTGCTGGAACCTTCCCCGTCAAGGTATGTTCTTTTGATGAAACTTTATTTGTCTTTATCGTTCAGATTTATTGAGTTTCTCATCATGTACGTTTCTTAATAACCTTATATTTTTCTACATATTGTCTTCTCTTATGATTGTCTGGAAATGTCTCTAGAGATATGTAGTTTGCAAAAGATAGGTTGTCTTTATATGATAGAGTGATCACCTGGGCAGTTGTAAATGATTTTCTGCTTTGTATTTGGAGGCTTTGCTGATTACCCAAAATTTGTGATGACTAAGCAAAATGAATTCCAGTCATTGTCGTAATTATTCAGTAATGATTGAAGTCCTAGAAAGTAACCCGTATCGAACAAAAAAGACAGAGTTGGTTCCATTTTCCTCGAAACATTTCTCTCAAAGATTTTGAAGGTCTTATTTTTTATTTCCATTGCCAGCATTGTTCCAACCATTTTTGCATGATTCATCGAAACCTTTTACATCTTTTGCAATCCGTTCCAAGTATTGCATTTAGTGATGGAAAGTGTTAAGAGGGACTCATCTTTACAGGTTTCTTGAAATGGATATTATTTGTTCATTTGTTTGCGTTGAAAATTTTTATTTTTGGTTGGTTTAATTCACCTTTGCTGTAGGTTCAACAGTCAAACACTTGTAGTCCTTTTTTGAGTTGACTCTGCTGTTACATGTTCCTCATTGCAATAGGAGATTTTGATTCGAGTATTTGTTTTCTCGTTTATCTTCTTTTCTATTCATATACTTTAGCCTGGCATTTAACAGCGGCAGTCACCTGTTCGGTGTATTTCTGGAAAACTTTGCTTTGTCGCCACATATGCATCTTGGACTAAAATGTGTTCAAAGTTCTTAAATGTTTTGATTTTGAATTGTATACTCTGTCAGATTAATGAAAATTTGAACTGTAAGAGTGGAGTATGTCCTTAACACATGCAAATCTCCTAACTTACTCGGACTCGGGTGAGTTTCCGATATGGGTATGCTTCTTACATGGTATGCACAAATTTGTTCCAAGTTTTCCATTATATTTAGAGGGTTATATTCTTGTTTATCATGTTCAAATATGTGCGCGTCATAAGTGTCGATACGGTTATTTTAGCTCAGTCACTAAATGAAATGTATGAACATTGTATCATCAATTATACTAAGAAATGCTCATGGTTGCACTTAGGTTGCTATCCCAGTGGTTCCAACGATCAGAGTATTGGTTTCTTTCACCAAGTTCGAAGAACTACAGCCTGTGGATGAGTTTGCAACGCCCCCTTCAAGCCCCTGTGTCGGGCGAGAAAGCCCTGCAGTGACACATCTGACAGGTTCATCCTGGTTTCAGTGGATAAAGGCACCATACCAACGCCCGGGCTCATCCAATCACAGCAACAACAAGATCGAAAACCTTCAAGATCCATTCGCGATACCCCAAGATTATGCTTGG